GAAACGATTGAGCTGTTGATAGCCTTAATTAATCCACAATTCAACCAGGCCGGGTAGTGTTCACGGACTCGTCCAGATAGACGTCTTCTCGTGTGGCCAATGTACCTTGTCTCAAAGGAATAGATAACCAAGTACACACAACAACTGTAAATAATCTAAGATGATGAACAATAATTTTATCACGAAAGCTTATTTGACAAGGAAATAATCAGGGGACTGTTTGAAGCTACTTCGAGCGGGAGTGTGCGTGTAAACACCAAATTTTAGAAAACCACATGAGGCCAATTGATATGATTATCCACGTTTCATCACTTACGTGCCTCTTCCAAAAACTGACTTCGTTCTTCGGTCGATGCGTCTATTTTACAGGTTTTCACAGCCACATTAATGAGTTCTGAATGATGCTGTATTCGAAGGGGGCAATAAGGATGATTGTTTTAGACGAAATCATAAACTGTTGGAATTCACATTCAAGTTAAATTACGTTCGAATGTTACACATTAGGTTTAAAAAATTTTAAGTGATTTCTACGCAAACTGAGTAGAAAACTTATTATATATAAAATATATCCAAATCATGAGTTCGCCCCTAGTCATATACAAATCGTGGTCATCAAACGAAGCTCAGCAACTAGTTTATTCTTGTTTCGGCTCGCTAACAGGCTGCGTGCTACTGTTTATTCTAAGCCAACCACAACTTGAGAATCTGGACTTTGCAAAACGAAGCTGGTTGTGCACGTAAAAAAACTCACGCATTCACAATGAGCCTGTTGCTAGCGCCCGATTTCGTGGGACTTATTCAGGTCACTGATTTTCTGAACAGACTTCTTATCATGCTCGCTTATGTGTTGTGGATTTTATGCCACAGTAGAGAACGAAATGAGGCAATGTTTTTCCTAGTGAGCGTCACGTTTGAACAAAAATACCTGTTTTTTCGAACGAAAGAACACAAATTATTCCTCCCACATGTCCAGCTGGAAGATTCTCAATTATTCTTTGCATGAATAGATTTATATATAATTAGAACTGTAAACTGATTGGTGTTTTTCCATTCAGAGCAAATCAGACAACTGAGAATGGGAACCAACATCTTTTCAATGAAAGGAAACATTTTTAACTGTATATTCTATTTCCTTTTGACAAAACAACACGAATAGTGAATGGGCTGGTTTCGATATCATCTTACTCTGGCTATTGCCCTTAAACATACGGATGTATGTATATGAAGCAAGCTTATATATCTATAACAAATAATATTTCTATGATTGCGTGTAAATAACTGCCGTTAGGAAATATTTCTTTAAATTGTTATTCTATGATAAGAAAGGAATAAAACGAACTGTAAGGAAGGAGGAAACAGTTAGTCAGATTACACGCTTCCGGTTTGCGTCGAAGGGTCATTGGTGGGGTCACGAGTGATTCGGTATCCGGCCTAAGGCAGAGTCACTGGAGTACCGTGGTGATCTACTGTTTCCAAGACAGATTTATTTGCAGTATGCTTTTATGTACATGTGAGATGGCGTTGGCGAGAAGCTCCGGATGGGTATGATGACATCCCGTAGACGATTTCGAATGCATCCCGTTCGCCTTCCGTCCACTTTCCGCAAGGTGGGTCTTTATGCATTGCATAGACTTCTCTCCCATAGTCAGCCACGCCGGTTTATTCATTTGTGTGTTGAAAGAACTGCCTGATATTCTAGCCTATGCAACTGATCTACCATGAACAAATATATGGAAATAGGGTTTCAAAAACAAAGTTTTCTTCGTTTTGATAACCTATATCTATTTCGATAAATTTTTCTTTCAGGACACTACAATGTGGGCCAGAAAGGGGTTCAGAGGCGATCTCATAGAAACTATGTTACATTTCAATACACTGTTCGTTGAATCTAAACGAAACGGTATAAGTTTATCATAATATCAGCTGTTTTATGCTGTTCAGTGGGATGCCGTACACCATTCAACGTTCTGCGATTTGATCACATAAGATTGACACAGTGGTAATGCACACGCCTTCCATGCGATACGTGCGGAGTTCAAATCCCGGATGGGACGGTAGATATGTACTACTGATGAGCCCCAATCAGAGCGAAACTCGAGTCTAGTGCTTCCGAGTGTATGGTTGAATCGATGAACTGAGGATTGTGTGTGAAGGTGACGTCCGAAGGATAGTCAGCTCAAATCAATAAAAAACGTAAGTTATTCTTTATCAAGGCTGAACGTTAGTAAACATATATGTCGTAGGCAAGTTGCACTTCATTCTAGAAGGGGCCCTTCAGATTGCATCACAAAGTACATCTACAGACAGACCCCGAAATTCCCACAGTCCGTTGGGAAACTGGAGGAATCGGTGAGGTACGCTTATCCACATTTGGTCTCAGAGAAAAACTTGCACCATAAACACTAGGCGCAGTGATTGCTTACCAACGAAACGTTTCAGGGATTTGTGGTTCCGCAGTTGATTGTTCGCATGCCACTGAAATACGCCGTTTCAACGTTCTACATGTGATGCTCATTTTGTGATCGTCGACACTATACCTTTTCAACTTCAAGTGAATCCGTTGTTACATCAAGTGAATCCGTCGTAACATCAAGTGAATCCAACCAATCGTACTCCTTTGGGAACCCCAGAAGATTATTGGTGTTTCGGCCGTCAGAAGTCACCCATTGGACCGGATCTGTCTAAACCCCATCCAGTCAGAATGAACTCATTTCCCCGTAAACAAACAAAGTACTTTTTGAGTGAGTTACCGAGCGAGCTTGAATGTTATGGGGTGGGCGGGGGGCGGGGGGCTGGGGGGGGGGGNACCCCCCCCCCCCCGAGCCCCACACACCCATTCCACCCTGGAACGTTATGTTCGTGATCGTTGATCGAGTGTGCCTCATAGATACGAATGAACGAACCAGACGATAATCGACCTCTGTCGGTCGAGTAAGGAAGCGACTCACGTCAAAATGGATCGATAAATCGGTCACTATGCCTATACGTGAATGTGAGCATGATTTACTGCATGATTGGAGTCAGTCTAAGCCCCCAATTACCCAATGAGCAAATTCCATTGAGGCCGAATTTCTCTTGAATAAAACCGATTCCTCTGAATCAAATGCGACAGCTTACGTATTTTTTACACTGTAATGCACACATGACAATGGTAAAAATGGCGGAAGAAGTAACAGTATTTCACCTGATTAGTGAGACCAAATTCGAACCCATTCACTAGCTAACAGGAATCATGTTTTTCTGTATCATTCCCTGGCTGATTAATACATTCAATCCACAAAGCTAATGGCAAAAATTTGTTATCTGCGGCTTCTCCCTTTGCTACTCAGCTTCATCGCATAGATTCATATCTTTATTGTATCATTGCTCAACCAGTCGCATCTTTTCACATACATCTGTGCGATCATTTATAGTTTAGTGAATGAGACCGGTGGTGATAAGAATGAATTACAGTTATCCATGATCCCACAAGTAATGCTAACTCTCAACTGGGTGCTCTGTGGGGTACTAAGTAGAGGTCGATAAAATATTTTACCCACGGTTGTCTTAATACTGAATGTCGAATAAGAGAAAAGGTTCAGTGGCCCCGTGGATGCCACTTTGCTGCATATTTCCCGTATGCGTTACCACCAAAGACTGTGTAAACGAGCTACGTATCATAAAGTTGGAGAGCAGTGACATTTTTTGCACTCCGAACTGAGATGGGCGGTGGTGTAGACATTTCAAATGATTACTCAACTTCTCCTAATCAGCCCAGTTTGTAGAAAATAGTGCATTTTTCACACAACTGCAGGGTTTTATTTCAGCGGATTAAGACGGTTGATTTGTTCACACGATTACCGAAAACTCAAACTTGATGCGTTTAATCAAACCAAATCCGTTTTGTCATCTTTCGTTTAGTCCATCTTGCAATGATTAATAACTGTGAGTTGTTTTTAGCGAACAGCAAAAGGTCGAAACAGAGCTATCGGCTTTCTGCGCCAGATCCTCAATGGCAGCTGAATTTTTTTTCTCAACAACGCCTATCCAGCCCATCGTATCACCGGGTATGGCACGAACAAATCATCAGGTACTGTGTCATATCAGTTCGAACAGAGTGGAAACTTTACTGTTACCGTGGCCATAAGAGTGATAACCCTTTGTGACAGCTTTCACTTTCTCCCCATTTCCTCATTGACTGTCTTTTTTCACATTTTATTTTATTTTATTTTATTCATTCTTGTCTAACATTTCTCATCTCATGTGCACTTTACACGTGTTACCTGGTTTTGTCCTATATATTTACCATGAGCCGATAGCTTCTTGTTCACTGAACATTTTGCACACACATTCATTCATTACCAGTTTAAGCGAATAAAGCGCGGTATGGCTGACGACGGATGGGTATGCGCAATACGTACTCTAGCCAGCGAAGCTTACTATTCTAAATTCGATGAGCTGACGGGTTTATTGCTGATAAACACCCAAACACATGACAGCTTACCTCCAGAATACTCGTTTTCTGCATCCCGCTTGGGCTAAACTATGCAAACACCGATAATCGAAATAGGTCTACGAAAAAAATTAAATGGAATTGTGAACCAGGGTACTCTTGACGACCGTCGTTGCTGGTGACGAACGGCCTAATAAGTTCGTTGTAAGCCCCTACTCAGCCTGAGGTGAGTATAGCGACCTCAGTATGTTAGCGTACTTCCGGGGCATCCCTTTAGAAAGAAGGCAACCCATATGTGCTCCGCGCTCCTTTAAGGTCAGTGGTATTCGATTACAATCAAAAATGTCCATCAAATACCAGAAGCGATGAGCTTACTGCATAATAAATAGAAGAGGAAATGTAGTATAACGACTTGTTTTTGAGTCATTTCTCTCTTTACTCACATACCTTTGGTCGGATTAGGGTCTATGATGAATCAAGAAGACCGTTCGTCACCAGCAGCGGCGTTCATCAAGGTTGCCCTCTTTCGCCGTTCCTGGTCAGTGCCGTCGTAGACCGATGTACGACTGATGTTAATTTGCTTTTGCCATATGACTTGCGTTTCATTGTATGAAGCGCAAATAAACTGCGGTAAAAGTTCCAGAAAAGCGGTGTTTTTCTGTACTTTTGAGTTAGTGGATAGATCAGGCGTTCCTTTCAAAACGTGCATTTGATGAAATACTCTTACTTCTTTCACTGTATCCTTGTACCATTGTTAAGTATCCTGTCAAGCGTGAGTTTCAATGAAAGAAATCCATAGGAAATCGCATTTGACTCAAAGGAATCCGTGTTAGGAATTCACTGGCCCAATGAAATTTACTCATTTGGATACTGAGGGCCAAGACTCAATCTACTCATGCAAATTTTTTAACCATGGGATAGTCCCAACTGGCTAATTGAGTTGTGGAGTACAATGGCCTGTGAAAACCGAAT